CACTTATAATATTGTTAAATGCATACTTGCATGGCTTATTGCAACTGCTTATTTTCTATTAGAACAAGGTATAGACGTATCTTCTATGGCATTATTAACAGAGGATATGACAAAAGAAATTATTCCAATGGTAGGACATAGAGCTAAATGTAAAGGCAATCTCGAAGAATGGAAAAAAGCATTAACCGTAACAATTGAAGTGACAATATTGGTAAGAAAAAATTAATCGTGCTAATATTTGCTTGATTTGAACTTTACCGTTGTGCTTTGTGCTCCTTTATTAGACAAATATATTATAATATAATAATAGTTTTATATATTTAAGAAACAAAACTACTAAAGATTTCTTAATGGTATTTTGTATAATTTATTTTTCTTAGGATATTTCAAATTTAACTAGTCGTTCAACAAATGAAACGTTGTCTCAATCTGCTTCTGGTGCATTATCAACAATATTTGATTCGGATATTTCAAATGTTTTCACCTGCAAATGTGTTGAGGAATCAACATCTGAGTCTCAATTGAGTAAAATTGATTTTTTGGATGTAAACAATGAAGCCCTACATAGTTTATCATCAAATCTAGAAAAGGTATTTAAGTTATATTCAATTCATTTTTATTAGAGATAATTTATGAAATTATTTTGAAACCTATAGAATCTGTATATTTTATGATACCTATTCTGAACTAACTACCTATTACCTAGTTTGTCATATTGATAATTGATATACAATGCTAGGCATTAATGGGTTAAAAATTATGTTAAGTAGGTATCTAACTCTTTACTTTTCTTTAAATTAACATAACTTAATTTTTGTTATATCAACTTATTTTAACGATCTAAAAAAAATGTTAACTTGCCCACCCTTGTTAATATATTTATTATTTGCTTGCTCTAAGTTTAATGATATACAATTTGTAAGTTATAAGTTATAACATTAATTTGATCAAATAGTTTAGTTAATAGCATAATCTTTTTCTAGAATTCTGGATTAAAGATCTACCTACAGAGTATCTCAAAAGGAAGAGTTTTATTGGCTACATATAAGGATTCTGGATTACTTGATAACTCTGGTAGAAGAAAACTGTGTAATAAAATAGTTCGTAAGGAGCTTCAAGAGAACCCCGAAATAAATATTAATTCACAAAAGTTATTGTCATTATCTGAGGAAATAACTCAAATTTTTCCATAGGAACACATCAGTACCTATTTTATACCTTACATTAATTATGGTAAATTAGTTACATTAACATCTTAGTAGTTGAAATCAGACTTTTGGTATTTATAATTTTAATAATTTTTAATTATAGGGGCAAATATTAAAAAGGCAGCCAAGGGTAAACTTTTAGATTGTTTCAATAATCGAAAAAGAGAATACAAAAAAGCAGGAATCATTACTTCTACACCAAGACTTTCTCCTTCAATTGAATGTAACATAGACACATTGTTATCCTCAAACCAAGAAGACGATACAGAAATTGGTATAACTAAAATATTTAAATTTAACTTTTTATTTAGATTTATATTTAAATTGTGGATTAACATTTTTATTTATATATTATTTGTAATAGTTAATAATTGTAGTAAAAATAATTTTTTAGTTGAAGCTCAATTAATTTGGCTTCACAATTCGTCTGATCCGTGGGATATGGTTCAAAAATATTGGACTATTACTAGACAAAAACGTTTAAGAAGTGTATTGGACCCAAATTCAAAAGATTTGATGTCAATTTCAGATTACATGAAATAGTTTCCAGCTCTTAAAAAGCCTGCTGGTTATAATCTTGAAAGTTAAGTTAAAACTTATATTGCATAATTTGCTTGGTTAGGTATTCAAAATTTTGATTTATAGATTTTTTTTCCAGTTAATTCAATATTTTAATTTCTTATATCCAAACAAGCAAAACAACCTTGTAGAAAACTTTCCGTTGCATAAAAGTAAAATACTTGAACTTGGAAGAATCCAGTCTAATAATTTGAAAGATAAATCTTTGAAGAGTATTATAGATGAATACTTTAACTTAACACCAGGTATGAGTGAATTGAGATTTTTTAAGCAGGTACAAATGTAAAGACATTTTTATTTGATTATTATTCCAGAAAATGATAAAGCATCATCTTTGGCTGCATTTTTGATATTATTTTTCTTATTTTCTCCAATTTCAACAAAAAGGAAGAGAGGAAAAACTGCATGGAGGCCTTCTAAGATTGAAATGAAAGATTGGTTCATCACACACATAAAGTCCCATACCGAACTCCAAGATACAGTGACTAGGAGAAAAGAAAAATATGCTCAACTAGGAACTACTTTACAGCCTCTAATAATTATTGTTGGACCAAATTGCAACAACATTTCGCAGTATTTCATTCTGGTAGATGACACTTTTTATGTTTTAAATTCTATTTTATCTTCAGTAGATTGTTGTTTCAAAATAATTCATTCTTTAAATCTGCAGTACCCTGTCGAAAGTTTACCAATCTAGTCATTTATTCAAAAAGTTTTTTATAAAATTAAAACTCCTTGGGACACAGAGTATGTGTGTGTAAATTCCTTGTTAAGTGATTTGGGAATTTAAACATTTATCAAGTGATAATTTTCTTAAAAGTTAGTTTATATTTAATTTCATATTTTCTTGAATACATAAGGTTTATGTATTTTTATTTATAATAATTTAAAATGAATTACAGTTAAAAAGTTACTAACATATTTTGACCTTAAGTACTTGATAGGTTATTTTTAATTGTATTTAGTACCTATATACTTAATTCAATTTTAACATGCCTACTTGTTTTGTTTGTAAAAAATGGCTTTTAAGCATACAGTTATTAAGTAAGCATTTTACAATATGTCATCTGGACTATGATTTTTTTGAATATACTTGTTCCAAAAATGACTGCAATAGAACTTTTCACCTTATTAATTCGTTTAAATAAAACATCTAGCCATTCATAAACATTATAACCAGTGTTTAAAAGTGAAATCACCAAGAATTCCTTTTGGTGATAATTGTAGTTCTTCAGTTAAAAACAACTGTGGCTCTAGTACACTTAATTTATGTAGTAATAATGGTATAGAAACATCTTATAAATATTTTGAAAAAGACACCAGTGGAAATAATTGTTATATACGAGAAGATTATGTTAGCTCATTTTTATCAAAATTGTATTCAAATCCTCAGGTTCCAAGAAATGTTCAAACCATTGTAGATGATTTGTCACTAATTTTTGATGGTATGAATCATACTGTAAGAAGTAGTGTATCTACTATTGGATGGTAATATTTCAAATGAATGTTTTGATCATTTTAACTCAATATAAGAAGTTGTAAAACATCCATTTAATGATTTAAATACAGAATACAAACGGTTTAAATACTATACTAAACTTGGTACTTACACTCCACCTCAAGAGTATGTTGTTAGAGAACAAATAAATGAAAAGACAAAATAATAGTTTTGCTTTGGTTCCAGTTAATTGCACCCAGCAATTCATCCCAAGAAGACATGTATTTTATAATTTTTTTAAAATGAAAAATGTTTTATCTGAAACTTTACTTTATTTCAATAAATGTAAACTTTACAACTCAGCTTTAATGAACTTTACACAGGGAAGTGTTGGCTCAAAAAACAAAATGACCATAGATCCCAAATAGTCCTGCCAATTTTTCTCTTTTTTGATGACTATGAAGTTGGAAACCCTTTAGGTAGTCATTCTGGAATCCATAAACTTGGTGCTGTGTATGTTTCTATCCCATGTTTACCACCTCACCTTCAATCTTCTCTAAATACAATTTTTTTAAAATTATTGTTTCATTCGTCAGACCGACAGAAATTTGGCAATAACATTATTTTTAAACCAGTCATTAAAGAGTTGAATTTCTTAAGAGAGACTGGAATTGATATTGATACTAATGATTTCAATGGAAATATTAAGTTTGAGTTGGGCCTCATAATAGGGGATAATTTAGGAATCCATAGCATAACTGGGTTTGTTGAGCGTTTCTCAGCAACCCATGTGTGTCATATGTGTAAGATAGAGAAAAGAGAAATGAAAAAGCAGTGTTATGCTGATGAAAATCTATTAAGAAATTTAGAACAGTATCATCTTGATGTTATTGAGGGAATGTTTCTGATAGTGGTGTGAAAGAAGCTTGTGCATGGCGTGATGTCTTAGGCTTCAGTGTGTTAGATCAAGTAGGCGTAGATATTATGCATGACTTATTGGAAGGGGTCTGTAAATATGACTTATCATTTTTATTACTATACTATATACAAGATTTAAAACTTTTTTCCTTACAAGTTTTAAATGAAGGATTGCTATGTTTTGATTATGGCCCTGATAAAGGCAGTAAACCTTGCATTTCGCATATTGAACATCTAAAAAAAAATATTTTGGTATGATAAATAAAATATATTTCCGTAATTACGAATTAATTATATTTCAATGTTTTAAACTAAATACTAGAATATTTGATGAACATTGTCATTCATTAAAAGTAGAAAAAGAAATCAATGACAGTATTTTTATTTATTATAATGATTTGGCGTCCTACACTTCAAATGATATCTATACAATGCCTAATGGCAATAGATATATCACTGTTAGAGGTTAAATAATTATATCTTAGTATATACTTAGGTACTTTAGGTACTTTTTACTAATTTAAAGTTATAACTTTTAAGTAGAACTTCATAAATTTTTATAATCTCCGCATTCCATGTATGTATAATTTGCAAGTAACATAAAGCACTTATTATACCTATGTACAGCATTGTATTTATATTGTTATTTAATTAAAGTTAGGAACCTATACTTTATATAAAGTTGTAATGCATTTGACTGATTTAAACATTTATATTAAATGATATATTTTTATGCCGGGTTGCATGAAACCGAACTTTAAATTTATTTAATGAACAGTTTTAACGAGCCGTTAAATCGTTTTACAGAATCGTTTGGGTTGCACAAATCGTACAATAAAAATGTATTGGTATTAAACATGATACCGAGGTTAGTGTCGAAATTTTAGTTTATCACAGAAAAAGTGATAAAATCCTATGATCTAGATACTGTATCAAGAGCTGTTTGAACTTTTATTTTGAATATGTATAATAACAATAATTGCTAAATTCTACAAATTGTGAATTTGTAGTCTACTAGTCTGTACTTAATCTTTCTTCGGCGTTTTCGGTTCTATTGTTTTGTACACATTTTATAAGTTTAGTGTTTTTTTAGCAATTGTAATTACCTAAATCTTATTATTCAAAAAATGTCTGAACATAATATAAATGAGAGTCAGTTAAAACAGAAACGTATGAGAGGAAAAAACTTTACTGAAAGGGAAAAAGAGCTATTAATTGACTTGATATTGCCTTTTAAGCCAATTATTGAAAATTAATGAACTGAGATCGAAGACGACAAATCGCTAGTGATACACGTTTTATTGTTCTACAAATGGTCGATTTATGTACGTGCACATGATCTCCAATGACAGCCTAATGAATTATTCCAAAATATTTATAAACAAATTCCTACCTAATATAATATCAACTATCAAGTAGTACACCACGATCGTGTGCAAAAAATATTAAATTTTATATTGTTAGCTTAAATTAAAAATATAATATAATATACGTTTAAAAAATATTTATTCAACCATTTGCATGTGGTCGTGAGTAATATTGTAGTCTGGGGAT